CAGTTTGGCCGGGGCTAGGTTGGAACCCACCACCCTCAGTATATGGGGCCAGCGTTCTACTCACTGAGCCACAGGTGCCACCCAAGGTCTTGAACTTTGAGGTCAAGCAATCCTCCTCCTCAATCTCCCAGAATGCTAGAATTACAGGTATGAACTACCACATCCAGTGCCTTTTAAATTTGTATTATGGCTACTACAAAATCTTCAATTACACATATGGCTTGAATTCTATTTTAATAGGCTAGCCCTGGTGTACACCTATGTTCTATACTTGTATACTCTTACTCTTTGAATTTCTCTTAGGATATTTGTAAAGGAAATTTGCTAGTTTTTTTTTCCTCCTACCAGAATCCTATTTTATTTTTTTATAGGCAGTCCAATCTTCTTTTGGGGGATGTCCCATTGTATTGAGCTCTGATGAGAACTATTGGCCACTTCCCACTACAGAAAGCAGAGGGGTTGTCTCTGCTAAACTGGGGGATGGGCAAGCAAATCAGACTCCTCCAGTTGGAAGCTTCCTCCCGACATTTTTATCCTGAGCAAGTGTTGCACGATGAGTAGGTCAGTAGGAGGTTCTATTCCTTAAAGCCACAGCAGATTATGACACATACCATTCTTCCTGCTTCCTTACTTTTGAAGTGATTTCTCCTGCCTAGTCTTCTGCAATGTTTAGGTTTTCTAAATTGAATGGAAGACAATGGATTTGATTTTACCAATTCTTTCCACCAATTCTGTGAGACCTTCACAATTGTCCAAGAAATATTCCCATTTTCTGTAATATTAATAAGAGTTTGTTTCTGTGTTTTGCCACCATGATGAGGATTGTATAAGTGCTGCTCTGGTGTGTATTACATTTAGTTCCAGCAAGTTCTAGACTCTGGGGAAAGTCTCAGAGTTAAAACATAAACTGCAGAGAAAGTCTTCGGAATGGATGCACACGAGCCAACCTTATAGCTCTATAAACCGAGAAGGATGGGTGCCATCACTGAAATGAGAGCATACCCATCCTTTTCAGTCCCAGGGATGTTTGCGTGTTCATTCCAGGAACAGAGTGTAAAAAACCATCTGTAGTTATGGGTCTATGATAGACAGAACAATGGCCTTCCAAAGATGTCCACATCTCATCCCCAAACCTATGAATGTTAGTTTACACATGACAAATGTGACTTTGAAGATAAGATCAAGTTAAAGACCTTGAGGTGGGGAGGCTATTCTGGACCATTTTGGTGAGACCCATGTAATCACAACGATGCTTAAAGTAGAGAATTTTACCTGGCTGGATCAGAAAGAAGTGACTATAGAAGCAGAAGTAGAACGATGTTACACTTCTGGCAATACAAGGAACCTGCAGAAGCTGGGAAAAGCAAGGAAATAAATCTTCCCTCGTCTCTGGAAAGCAGCACAGTCCTATGGACACCTTGATTTTAGCCATTGAGACTTCCGACCGACAGTACTATAAGATAATAAAAATTGTGTTGTTTCAAGACATTAGGTTTATAATAATGTGTTATGGTAGCAAGTAGAAAACCAACACAAAGTCCACCCCTTGATCTGGAGCAGACACAGCCTTGAATGTATTTGGCTATATCCCTTGGAGAGTAGGGAGGCAGCTCCTGTATGAAAATCAGGTGCCACCAGCAAATGAGGAGCTATGGTTAGAATGTGTTCCTCCCCCAAGGCGTAATCCCCAATGCAATCATTTTGGGAGGTGGAGCCTAATGGGAAGTATTTATGTCATGAAGGTTTCACTTTCATAAATGGATTAATGCCTATTATAAAAGGGCTTGAGTTCGTTGGATTGGTCCTTTTTCTTTCTTCTTTGTGACAGTGTCTCACTCTGTCACCCTGGGTAGAGTGCCATGGCATCACAGCTCACAGCAACCTCAAACTCTTGGGCTTAAGCGAGTCTCCTGCCTCAGCCTCCCGAGTAGCTGGGACTACAGGTACCCACCAAAACACTCAGCTAGTTTCTCTATTTTTAGTAGAGATGGGGGTTTTGCTCTTGGTTACGCTGGTCTTGAACCTCTGATCTTAGCCAATCCACCTGCCTTGGCCTCCCAGAGTACTAGGATTAGCACCTGCCCTGGATCTCTCTTGAGTGCACAGGTGCTCTCTTGTCTTTCTGCCTTCTGGCATGGGACCATGCATCAAGAAGGCCCTCGCCAGATACCAATACCTTGATATTAAATTCCTCAGGCCTCTAAAACTATAGAAACAAATGTCTTTTCTCTGTAAAGTACCCAGTGTGTGGTATTCTGCTATAGTAACACAAACCAGATCAAGATGTGAGGGAAAAGATACTGAACAGGCAACCAACCACCACAGCCCCATGTACATTGTTTAATCAAAACGTGGGCTCAGTGCCCATAGCTCAGTCAGTGGTTAGGATGCCAGCCACATACACCAGGGCTGGCGGGTTCGAACCTGGCCTGGGCCTGGTAAACAACAATGACAACTACAACAAAAAAATAGCTGGGTGTTGGGGTGGGCGCCTGTAGTCCCAGCTACTTGGGAGGCTGA